GGGAATGCCTGCTCTGTGAATCTGAAGTCAGGCTTTCAGCTTGGGCTCTAGGTGTTCATAATTTCCCAGGAGGCCTCGCCAAGGTCCCCATTAGAAACTTGCAGAGGCAGCAGCCCACATCTGGTCATGATTAATCCTCTCAACACCCAAGACTCATGTGGACTGGCCTTGGGCCATAGCCAGCTATCCCTGGGAAAGCCAGCCCACCCTCTCAACGCTCCTCTCATATTCTGCAGAGACTAGCTCTTTGCCTTGGTTTTTCCCCTCTCCCCTCTGTATTCAGCAGAACGTGGAAGTAAGAGCCTTACATAAAATGGACCAAGAGAGGTGGAGGAAGCTAAGCAGCGTCACCAGAACTGATGGCAGAGGTAGCACCTGGCCACTGCTAAAGAACACAGGGGTTGGACTAACAGAAAACTGAACCCCCTGGAAACCATGGGTGTGCTTAAGAGGAGCACATGGAAAATCCCAGCACAGCACCTCCCTACAAAATTACCTGGCCTCACGTGCAGATGGAGAGAAACTCTGGTGGAAATATTTATCTATATCTTTTGTTAGATTCTCAGAGGAGTCCAAGAACCCATAGAGCAAACTAGTTGGAAGCTTGGACTCTGGAGTAACCCAGACATAGTTCGAGTCTGCTCTTAGAGAATTGACTTAACACAGTTCTAGCCTTTCTGAGCCTCAAGTGCTCCTGTTGTAACATGTGTAGGGCTGTTGTAAGGAGTGAATTGTCTGGTACATAGAAAGGATTTAGTACAGTGAAGTGCACAGAGACTCATTAGTATCATCAGTAAATGTGCTTTTAATTCTCTCTGGAACATTTTAGAAGCAACACAGCATAATGGATACACGTCCTTAATTTTAGAGAAAAGGAGACCTGACCATGTGAGGCCTCTTTGGCAAGCCACTTAATTTCTATGAGCCTCCATCTTTATATTTTTTAAATAGTAGAAAGTAGTATAGTACTGTTGGGTTGTTATAAAAGGTGAATGAAAGAACATGTGCAGAACCCTTATACAAGGAGAGGTCCATTTTAAATGTTCAGTTAAAGGGAGATGTCATAGGCAAACGTCTTATCTCTTAGCCCACTCTCCTGCCTGCCTACCACCATATAACTAGTTACGACTGAGAATATCTAGAGCCACTCACCCCGGGGATGTAGAGAAAACCTTAGGCTCAGACAAGTTTTTGTTTCTCCTAACATGCCCTGGGGAAGTTACTTTTTAATCTTTGCTCCATTGTACTTCCACTTTTTAATATTTTTCTTTCTCTGGGAGTTTCCTTTACTACTTCCATAGCTTCAGGATGGATAAAGCTGTTTATGAGGGATGCCAAATATAGGAGGTTTTGTTGAGCAAGAGTTTGATTATGATGAAGGTTTGAAGGAAAGGGATTTTTTTTTTCCTTTAAAAAAATGTAAATTTTTGCAGGGACCTTGACCTTGTGTCTTTGTCAATAAACTCTCATTTACACATACAAAAAAAATGTAAATTTGACTCAGATTGCAATAAAATAGTATCCTAAAATTACTAAGAAACATTCTTGGGGAGTTGTGTTCAATTTATTTAAAATCAGTTGAGAATTAGTGTTCTCATGCTTCAGAATTTACTTAAACATAATAGGAAAAAAAATCCATAATAACTTTCTTGATCAAAATGATTCCAAAGCAAAAAAGTGTATATATATATATATATATATACACACATATATATATTTATATATTTAAGTTATATATAATTTTATATATATATATAATTTTGGAGGATATTTGCTGCTTTTCAGTAATGAGCTTTTCATTGAATGGACTCTACTTTAGGTCAAGACCAGGCATAGGTATGAGTGTCTGTATGTCTAGCTAAACAGGCCAACAGTGTTCTTCAGTGTTCTGCCACCCCCTGAAGTTTCCTACTGTGTGCGTCTGAATTTCATACAGTCCTCTCTTCCAGGAGACATCTGGTGGCATATTGTCTCTTCTGCATTTGAAAGTCTGCTTTTCCTTGAAGCTATACCCTGTGAGAGACTAGTCTTTGTCATGGATGTAGAAGACCCAATGGTTTAATGTAGAATGCAGGACTTGAGCTATTCTTTTCCAAATCTGAACCCAGCTGGCTGATCAAGTCCTAATATATGTGGAAGTGCCCTCTCTTAATAGGTGTTCGATAAATGGTTTCTCATCCTCTTTGGACGGCAAATCATTCAGAAATTGGAGGAGATGACCTCGGAGGACCCTTCCAGCTCTAAACTCTGTGATTATATTCTAAATGTTAAGACAACATGTACTTACTGGCATCACCATTAATGGAATTACCCATCATTTATCTTATAACAACAACAACAAAAAAAAACCCACACACCAATAGCATTAGACCAGCCACGCTTGAAAATGAGGGTGTGGGATTTTTATCACAGCCAGGACTCTCTGGTGACACTCGTGATGAATGTGAATGTCTTTGAAAAAAAATTCCAGCTGCCCTGGGTAACCTGACTTGTCCTTTTGTTTTTGGACTTGGTTCCACTAAATATGTCTTATTTCAGTGTAACTGTATGCTTGAGACCTAGAATGTAGTTAAAAATCAAGTTATGCTTAATAAATGTTGATAAGAGATTTTATAAAAAATGTTCTTCTCACATCTTGTCTTTCCTCTACCTCTTCACTCTGACCTTGACACCTTTTTCAGATAGAAGGTTCACAAGAGGTTACCGGGTAGGATCTCACTCAGATTACATTAACTCCATCACTGGAGCCACCCATAGTGTTTCAATCTTTATCTTCTTCCTGCCATAGTGGAGGATAGGTCCTGCTAAGACTGAACCCCTACGAATCCAAACACTAGATCTCATTTCCTGTTAAGAGTACTACGATCTTGATTCAAGTCTTCTGCTTCCCTTTTCTCTTTAAAAACCACACATCCGTCTCTGGTTTTCCTGAAAAGATTTTTAGTAGCAAAATTCAGCACAATAGTCCTTCTTCCATTACATGACAAAACAGAACAGAATAATTTCTCCACTGATGTCCCACTTCATGTGACTAAACCATTACGATTGTTATGGTTTTACCAATTTCCTGTAGTCTTAATCTTATTCTTTCATGTGCCTCACTCAAAATTGGATAACAGAAGCAAAGAGATTCCTTTCTTGTTTGGCCTTTCCTGTAAATCTCATTTCCAGACTTGCTCCAAATTAGGGTAAAGGTTAAGTGAAGTGGGAAAACAAGAGGAAGGGAGGGGACAGAAGCTCTGCTGAGGCAGACCACTTAACATGGTTTCCATCTCACAGTTTACATCCTTCTCTGTCCATCCCATTGCATTGCCATCTCCAGTCCCTCCCCAAGTGGCCGTGCACTTGTAGGGTAGCCTCCACAATCCCATCTGGCCAGCACCCCTCCAGCAGGTGGCGTGAGCAGTGCATTTCCTAGAGAACATTTGCTGTCTGAGACTATTGCTGTCTCCCTTCTCTCCCTTTCCCCAGAGTCAGCAGAGGAACTTCCTCTAACCACCTGCTACTGCCTTAGTCCAAGTTCATCGATCTGTCCACAGGCTTTATCTACCAAAGCTATGTGCTTGGTTTCTCCTAATTATTGTGTATCTGTTTTTCCCATTTTTAGAGAAGTGTTTTCTTTTGCATTTCGTTAATTTGAGCATGGATTCCAGATACATGTCACCACAAAAATCTCTTTCATATTTTCCTTTACCTGTTATAGTATTGTACCACTGGAGTCTCCAGTTGAGTAACAAAGGGAGTTGTAGTTAAAAGAGAAAAAAGGTGAGATTCATAAAAACGAGCTTATGTGCGCTGGTCTGGCTTACTTTTGTGACCTAGGGCAATTTACATAATTTCACTATCTCATTTTCACTTTCTATGAAACATTTATGAGTCTATTCAGCTCCTTGGGTTCCACGAGAATCACTAGAGATAATTTATGGAAGAAACGACTGGAAGAGTAAACTGCTAAACATACCTACCATTATTTCTGTCAAATTGATTAGCAGCAGGAGCACAAAATTCCTCATTGTTTCTGTCACGTATCAAGAACTTTCTACCTGAGTGTAAAACAGAGGTATGTCTTGTCCCCAGTCTGACTGCTAGCATCCTATACACCTTTCTTTCCAGGCTGTGGAGGAGATGCACTGTGGCCCCTAAAGTTCCCTGTCACTGGAGCTGTCTTCCCAGTTGTTAGCCACTGCCAGACCCCAGTTTATGAAGGACTTCAGACTGAGGATGATTCGTGCCTTGCCATGGTTTAGCTGAGAGTCTGAGTTGCCTATCCACATCTCGAGGTTCTTTGTACTTTATGATAAGTGGCGTTCCTTCCAAGAGATGGTAGTGAAAGTACTTAGCACTCATAGCCTTTCTGATAAAAAGCTCTATGATCCTCTTTGTTAAGCTTTTCTGCTAGAAGATACCAGGGCAAATTGGTCCTTCACTGCACAATCAGTGTTCTTGTGCAGGCTAGCAGCCTTGTGAATGTGTTAGAGAAAATCGCATGGGGATTTCTCTTTTTTTGCACTGCTCAGTAGAGCTACCAACAATATCTAGAAGACACATTACTACTGTCAAGCACGCAACATTTAAGGGTGTCCCTTTGCGCCTGAAAAATGCAAACCTTCAGATCAAGAGATATGTGTACCCCCTTTTGTTTCGAAACTCCCCTCCCTTGAGTCAGCAACATGGTCCCTCCCAGAGCAAATGGCAGAATCAGGCTAGATTAGTGTGCTTGCCAAAGACTTAGGTAAGAGGTATCATACAAATATCTAAATTATTGCAGCTCAGAATTCTGAGGTTTCTAAAAAGTACGTTCCCGCAATTCATTATTGTTAGTATTTGTGACTATTTGATAAGCTCCAGAACCGTTTTCTGCCATGGAAAATAAATCATTTCTAATAGCTGATTTTTTCCTTTTTTTTTCCTTTTTAAATGTGAATTTTTTTCTTGAAACAGCCACATGTCATCACCATGTTCTTTGTTTAATACTTTTTTTTTCTCCCCCTCTCCCTTAGGATGGTCGGCTGCGAATGAATGACCAGCTGATTGCAGTTAATGGGGAGTCTCTTTTGGGAAAGTCCAACCATGAAGCTATGGAAACACTTAGACGATCCATGTCCATGGAAGGAAACATCCGAGGGATGATCCAGTTGGTGATTCTTAGGAGGCAGGAGAAACCCGTGGAGGTGATGCAAATTTTGATTTCCCTCAGCAAATTGCCCAAGTGGCCATCTGAATACACAAACTCCCATTCCTAGTAGGGAAGCTAGATGCAAATTGATTGTGAAATTGGGAAAATATGCCCAGAAGGACTCTGATTGATTTATGTGGGGAACAGGTGGTTGTATATTTTAGATATAACTAGAAGGTGTAAAAATGTGCATATAAACTAAGTCATTCATCAAATGTAACAAGTCCATATTTTCTAGTTTTTCTTCCCCCGCCCCCAGGAATTCCTAAAGGTCTGGACTGATTCATAAACATCTTTACATGCTTTTTGTTTGATGTGCTAGCAATGCCCATACCTTAGAGAGGCCCCAATTGGATATGTGGAATGTTTAATGTGAAGATCATTGTTACACAACCAATTCTCCATAGTATTCCACGTAATATGCTCATAGCTAATATTGACCTGAGACTGAACTAATTTAAGACGTGATCTATTCAAGCTGCTTGCTTGATATTATTAAATAAATGTAAGTCTTATGTTTTGAAATCTTTTATCATTTAGTGTCAGGAATATTTTCACCTATGTATGAAGTATAATCAAAATATTTTTTACTTAATATTCCTAAATACTTCAGTTGCATACAAATAGTAAATGTAAAATATTTCTAAAGCATTTTTTCTTATGTGTTCAGCTTTAATTTAAGAAAAGATAAGAAAAAGTTAATAGTCCTAAAATTTAAGAACAGTACCAGCAAATCATGCATTATTATATCAGGATATTCTCTAAGGCCAAATATGCTTGCATATTATAGTAATATGCAAAGTAAAGACAGAATACTATTAAAGTCACTAATTTTTTAGACAATAAGTTCTACTTAAAAACTAAAAAGTGGAAGTATTATCAAATTATATAACAGCAGATGGTATCAGGGCTCAATGTAGTTATAAGCCTAGGCTCTGAAATTTTGAATTACTTGTGTTTAAATCCTGGATTTATAATGTCCTGACAATGTAGCTACATATGAGAATATTCCAAAAAGTTTGTGGGAAGTGGAAATAAAATGTAAGTTTATGTTGGTACCAATATTTTCTGAAATCCATGCACAGTTTTTTCTAAAAGCATTTTCCATGAAATTTTTGAAGACACCCCTCCCCTTTTGCATAGTTGTGTGCCCAGTATTCGTAGATAACAGATATTTATGTCTGCTTCATCCTTTAGTGGACTGTGATCCCCAGCACATAGTAGACCCATAACAAATATTGTTAGGTGGATGAAAAAATTGCATTTGAGGCCTGCTTCATCTAAGAGAGTTAACCTGAGAAGTAAAGTTATAAACTATTTTATTTTGTTATTAGCTATTGGAAAAGAATAACTATACCTTTTAAACTCTTATGTACATAACCTTGTAGATTTAATAAATGTAAATTGGCCAATTACTGGAGACTATATGTAATGAAGGAACTCATTTTCAACATTTGCATCTTCTTAAGTGACAGAGTCTTCCATGAATATTTAATGAGCTTTACTTAGGTACAGAGTTATAATGCCCTTACCTACAGCTTCCTACTCTGAGAGAAGTGGTTCCATCTGGTCTAATTTTATTCCCACTCTAGTGCCCTGGGACCTCGTAGAACCCATCTAGTGGAAAGAGTTGAAAGGACAGCTTCTTAGGGGCCTAGTTACCCTTTCTACATATTAGAGCTTCCTTAAGGTTTCTTTAAACAAGACACTTCAACTAACAGAAAATCTGGAATATGCTAATAGAGATTACCATATCTGTGTGAATAACAAAGGCAAACTAATCAATGGCTATGGCTCCATAAGTTAGTTGTGCCCCACCTCTCTTCTTTCCTAATTTCCTGTCTTTCCCTAAAGTGCACGCAAATGCTGGTGGGTAGGTGTTAAGAAGCATTTGCCTTCTCCTTTATTGCCAGCATTTTCATTTGCTTCCCACACTCGGGTGGACTGATGTTATCCCATCAGAACAAGTACTAAACTCAGTTCCTTGCCCATCCTCAGAAGTGTCTCGTTAATATAGTTCACCAGGGAATCGATTGGGAATAAGAACTGGGGCAAAAAGCAATTTTTATGAGGACATTGAAACAAGATCCATTTTTAGTTTCTCTAATATTTACATGATTTCCATGGGGAGTGAGCAGGCACTTGACTCTCAGCTATTGAGAATCTCTGTGGTACCCATGAAGATTAAAGAGCATCATTTCTTATAAAGACAGCAGCCTAATGTACAGTTTATCTTTATTAAATTGGAAAAAAAATGGCAGCTATTTGATCTCCCAAATCTGTGTTGTAGTGTGTCAAGGCATATGTTCTTTGCTCATGCTTTTGGTGTATTCTCCTGTGGAACAGCAATTGCCCTCTGGTACAATAAAAAAAAAAAAGGCATCCACAGCCTAGAAAAAAGGTCTTAGCACCACTCATACATTCAAGCAAATCAATTGTTAGATTTGGCGAGAATACCAAAGTGATTGCTTCACTATTATACAGAGATTTTAAAAAAATAAAAGAAGCTACTTAAGAAAAGTCAAAATATATAGTTGTTGAGGTATTTTTTCCCCACATTGCCCAGATGTACAAGGTACATAAACAGTTTTGATGAGGACCTTGTAAAGAATTCCTAATGAGCCCTTGATTAAATCAAAATCATTTTAAACAGAAACATGTTTTTCAAAGGATGAGCTTGAGGTTCAATTGTAATTCTATTTGAGCCTAGAGACTTGGTATTAAAAAATGGGTTATGACCTGGTTTTGCTTTTCCCTTCCCCAAAACATTTTCCTCCCTGCTGCCAGCTCATCTTGGTAGAAGCAGGATATGTTTGAAAATCCATTATGTATTTTATTGGCTGGGACACTAATGGAGGGCTCCACGACAGCTCTATTTTACAGGCCGAATACTTTAATTAGGCTGGTTACTGATCAGTTGTTGGGATATCGATTGTGTCATTTATCAAAGAGCTGAGAAAACAGAAAAAAAAAGTTTTTGTTCTTGTTGTTATTGTTAAATCAAAACACTAGGCTATGCGAGGCAAATCCTCCCTCTCCTGCCTGCCTGGGCTCCAGCTTCAGCTTAGGGGAAGCTTGCCTGCTCTGCCGGGCTCTGTTGGACTTGCAAGATAGAAGCAGAGTACCACGGGTATGGGGAACATGTTACGAGCTCTAATAAAAATGAAAGGACCTCCAGCAATTGAAAACATCTTAATTATTAAGAATGAATAAAATGAGTATTGTAAGTATTTGGTTTAACTATATAGGCACTGAATTTTTGTAACAAAGAAAAAAATGCAAACAAAATGCATTGTGTTAACCAAATGCTTTATTCAGAGGGAAAGAGCTTTGAGAATTAGATCTGTTATTGTTTTTGGCATGTTCCTCCAACAAATGGTCAAGGGAACAGCCATGAAATGGCTTTCCAACTATTTACTTCCTTGAAATCTGTTAGGGAGAGAAATAGTATGAGCAAGAGTGAAATCCATTTCTCTGTGCCTCAATCTTTTTGGAAAAAGCATTAATATGTGCAGTGCTGTGCACCAGTCTCCTCCTCTTACCATTTCAGCACCTGTGGAAACTGGATTGCAGGGGTGTTGTGCGTGCAGCAGTTTCAAGGAAACTGAATTTGTGTACAGACAGTCAAAATCAAAGTAGAAAAGGTAAACATGGGAAAAAAGAAAATTGAGAAGAACTGCTATCTGGCATTGTCATGCAGTTTGTTTTAGCTCCTGGCCAAAGAACCTAGTGTCTGCAGTGGGACACACTTATGGCCTTTGAGGGATGAACTCTGTGGTTTCTGACTTGCCCTAGAGCATATGCACATAGTCACAGAGAGAGAGAGGAACTTGCTGGTTGGCAGGGAAATACCCTTGGCATGAACTATCTTCTTATGTTGACACTGCCACAAGCTGTACTCCCAGATGGAAGAGAATTTGAAAGAAGCCAGTTGTAAGTAGGGGAAAGAATCAAAAAGTTAATCCCCTTTTGTGGTGGCTATCAGCACTTCTAATCCTCAGCACTGCATTGCCAGTGTTTCTTGTTTCGTATTCAAAGATAGTTTAACGGATAGGGTCATTTTGATTTTCCACAGTTGAGGACTAACATGCAATAAACTCTTAAAAGACGCTTCATAAAGTGCTCATTCTTTTTGCTTCAATTGTCGAAGTTGGACCACACTAGAGAAAGTGATTGTGATTTTTTATTTTCATCCCCTTAGGAGCCTGCGGAGTGTGGGGCATTGTCCAAGCCATGCTTTGAGAATTGTCAAAATGCTGTGACCACCTCTAGGCGAAACGACAATAGTCCACTGCAGCCATTTGGCACTTACAGTCCACAAGACAAACAAAAAGGTAAGAGTCTATCCATTTTCATCCACTGCAAATGGAATGAGAAGACTTAAAAGTGCCTTTTTTTTGAACAAAGGGGAGGGCGACAAAGGCAAGTTAATTAGAGGAAGTGCAGACTTTGTAACGCACAGTCATGAACACTGAGAAGTGGGTGGGAGAGCTGACTCAGAACTTGCCAATCAGCTTCCTGGCAGTGCCTGCAGTTGAAGTGACAGCTTCTATGCTTGCTGCCCCAAACATGGAGGGTTATGTATAAAACAAACCATGATGGAGAAATAAGGATGGCAAACTGTTACTTCTTTTTAAGACCTTTTAATATTGTATGGTACCAAACACCAAAAAATGTATGGTCTTGCATCAAACCATAAACTGGTCATAATGCAATTCACAAAGTTATGCTTGACTCTAAGATAATTGTGGTAAATTGGCAAGTGCCACGACCTAAGACGGTTATGTGACAGTTGGAATGCTCTTACTGTTATTTTGCCATACTCTCTTTCCATTATTATTTAGTACAGGTCACATTTCTAGACAGTTCTGAATGTAAAAACCTGGGTTTTCTTCTTTATTTTTCAAAACTTATACTTCAGGTCACCCAGAAAATTATCTCCCTGTATCTCTCTTTTTTAATAGCTTTCATTTTTTATATTGCAAAAGCAATACATATTCACTGCGGAAAGTTTACAGAAAAGCAATAAAAAATATGATATACAATTAAATATATGTAATAAATATCATTCCTATCGAAGATCTTAATCAATAACATTTTTATCTATTTGTTCCAAGTTTTTTTTCATGCAAATATGTGTACATAAAATGAAATGAAAATGAAATATTCTTAATGTAATGTTTAGGAAATTGCTTTTTGAACTAATTGCATGACAGCCATGTTCAATGTCATCGGTAGCACCACCTTCAGGGGTTGGCTAGTGTTCTACTGAATGAAGGTGTGCATAGCGTGTTGTCAGTCCCTTGTGGTCTGGGTACTTAAGGTGTTACTAGAGTTTAGCTGCACGGGAACAAGTTTCAAAGCTTGTGATTACTCTGTCAGAATGGACTTGTCCATCGGAGGCTGCTCTGATTGAATCATGTGCTCAGAAAGATGGAGCATTGTTTTTTCCTGTGAATTTCTCGATCTTACAGTAGTAGCAACAGCTGTTCCCATTTATTAAGTATTTATTTTCTGTTAGATACATGCCTACTTTGGGTAATACTACTATTCTTATTTCACAGATGAAAAAAAAATAAAAAGGTAAGAGAAAGGAGTCAATCACCCAAGACTGCATACTTGACCCCCACAGAGCCTGGATTCAGTTCATGTCTAAGTTCCTCCTCTAAGCCACAGTGCGGGCCCTGCCTCACACTAGCCTCTTCAAACGATATATTTTTTACTTTTTAAAAATTCACTTGAAAGGCAGAGAGAAAGTGAGAGCAGGCAGACAGACACAGAGACATTTCCATGTGCTGACTCACTCCCCAAATGGCTGCTAGAGTCAGGGATGGGCCAGGCTGAAGCTAGGAGCCCTGAATTCAGTCTGCGTATCTCTTGTGGAAGGGAGGGACCCAAGCACCTGAATCATCACTTACTGCCTCCCAGCACGCACATTAGCAGATAGCTGGCATCATAACCAAAGCTGGAACAAGCATCCAGGCACTTTGCTACGGGGTGTGGGCATCCAAAGGGAAGTCTTAAACACTGCACCAAAAGCCTGCTCCACCCCCCCCCCCCCCCACCCGGAACTACCATTGAGGTCCTTTTCTGATAGTAAGAATGTTTATTAGAAGCTGCCTTTACTTTGTATACTCATAAAGAAATGCTCAGTATTTCTTTTTCCATCTTAAAGAAATTAAAGGTTTTCTTGATCAAACCTGATCTTGCTTCTGAGATTTAAGTCACAAATGCCAGAGAATCTGGGGAAGGGATGTAGATTTCCCACAGGAAAGAGTAGCCTTTCTTCCCATTATGCATATATTCTGATCATGAACACTGACATCTGTATTACAATATCTAGCATCTTATAATTTGATTGGCAAATTATATTAATTCTCATACACGCTGTGGCCCAATGGCTATCTAAGTTTAAGTTTTTATTTATAATTACAGCAGAGGCATCCCATTGAACATTGGGTATGTTACCTCCCATCTTATGGTATTTTTAATGCCTATAAAACATTGATACTGAGTTAATATTCATACAACATACTTTTAGAAGAGTCCCAGTAACATGGGGTAGCATCTCTAGGAAGGGTAGCACAGACTAAAATAATGGAACTATAGAAGTAGTTAAAAAAAAGTTATACCCTCATAATTGCATAATGAAATCCCCTTAAAGCATTTGTTTATGGAATGCAATCAGGCTTTCACTATTCAGACTTTGTCTCTCTACAGAACAGATTGAGACCTCTTGGGCCCAGGTGAGCACAGACCACCACTGGGAGGTTTTGTCTGTTCTCCACCTGAGACATAGGTCCAGACAGGACAGTGTTTACAGCCGTGAGAAAACCATGCGGACAAGACGGTTACCTCCTCCCCACACAAAGTTAATGTAAGAAATCCAATTCTGTCAAGAACTGTCTCCACGAAATGCTCTCTTTACAATAGAGTAAACTTTGTTGTTCTTACTTCTTTGAAGATCTGCGGTGCAGTAATAGGTTAAGAATTAAGCCTGTCAATGCATAGAATTATTGCATTTTAATTGTGAGAGGTCAGTAGATAAAATTCTCTTACTTCTTAAAAATATAAGCCTGTTATCTTAGAAAAAATATTCTGCCAGAATGAACGTGATGCTACTGAAGCATTTCACGATCATCACGTCTTTGTAATACTGACATTATACGTTTTGAGAACTATCAGAAGTTGCTGAGTTTCAGCTCTCCGTAAGGTGGTAACAGACCACTGAGTCTCGTGAAACCTGAGTGTTGACTCACCACTGCCAATTTTTTGAAGGTCCTTCTTTAGAAAAACAGATCAATGTGACAAAGTGCTATGTCTAGTGAGGGAAGGAACTGTTACAGCCAAAACATTAACATTTTCATTCCCTTTTTCCTTTCCTGTGTATATTTAAAAACCCGACGTTGATACTCTGCGTTCCATCTATTTTTGTAATAATAGTATATACCACCCCAGTTCCCAGGTTATTTTATTTTATTTTTTTATTCCTGTCAAGATGGTATACAGAAAAGTCAGTTTTAGAACTAACATTTGTATAAATTGTAACACCAGAAAACTCACACTTGTGTTTGAGAATTGCTAGCAGTGCCCATGGTGGAATAAGTGTGGTGCTCCAAGATGGTGAGAAGAATGGAGGTGTGGCCCCTTAAGGATCCATAAACCCTGTAGTTCACTGGGGAATCCAGCTGGGAGATCTCAGCCTGGCCTCAGGATTACCCCTACTGCAATTTGCCTCTGGCTTGGAGTACCTCCCCTCCCACCCCCTCCTTTTTGTTCTTCTGCTCCCCTTCCCCTTTCAGCCCACGTGCACCCCCTCATGGAACCCAAGACCACTCACTGAATTAGCTTTCATCTCCATCTCCAATAAAACATTTTGGTTCTGTCTCCTGTTCCACTGGATCCATATTCCCTTAAGTCCTTTGAAGAAGAATGTGGCAGTAGTTATTCCTAAAGTGTATTCCCCTGGGAACCAGTGTACCTCCACTCCTCTATGGCACATAGAGCAACAGCTCTGCAGGAGTGACCAGAGATTGAATGATTTAACTAATTTAAACTTCCCAAGTTAACTAATGTTACTTGGATGCCTCCATTGTACAGAATATACCATCAGGAATGCAAATAGGAATGCAATACAGCAATTGTCCCAGAGAATATCTGCATCCCATTTTTATTTCAATACTCTTCACAACAGCAGAGATACAGAATTACTGTAGATGTCTCAGTGGAAGAATGGATAAGGAAAGTGTGGTACATACACACAGTGGGACATTACTCAGCCATAAAGAGAATAAAATCCTGACATTTGCCACAAAACGAGTGGGTTTGGACATCATCGTGCTAAGTGAAATAAGCTAGAAACAGAAAGACAAAAAGCTTTTCTCTCATGTGTGAAAAATAATATACCTGTATAGTAAAAAATGTGTGGATGCCATATTATTTGGTTTATAGATACTCATAAATGTTGTCTTCACTGAAGTATACTCATTATGTAAGGATATATTCTTAGTTCCTCATTTATGATCTTTGTGATGAAACCCACATTATGGGATACTAATATATCCACCCTTAGCCTTCAAAATAATGTATATTTACACATGAAGCAAATATGGTAAATTGTTAAAAATGGCTAAATCTGTGTGCTCATTAAAGTCTTCTTTATATAGTTTTCTTTGCTATTTGAAATGTTGTACAATAAAACAAACAAACAAACAAGATTAGTTAAATCAGGGGTCAGCAAACATTGTTCTTAAAGGACCAGTTAGTAAACATTCCACAGTTTATGAAAAATTGGGTGTCTGTCACAGGTCAGTTCTGCATTTGAGGCACAAAAGCAGCCACAAATACACATACAAATGGACGTCGCTATGTTCTTGTTTACAAAGCCTGACGGAGGGGTGGTTTAGCTTGCTGATCCCCTTTCTAATGTCACAATCTCCTTTATTCTTTCCTGCCCTGGACTTGATAGGATGCGTCCTACAAAACAAACAAAATGTAGTTATTAAAAGAGGGAGCCAGTGTGTGGTACATTGGATGGAGCCACTGCTTGCAATACTAGCATCCTATGTCCGAGTGCCTATCGGAATCCTGGCTACTCTGCTTTGCATCCAGCTCTTGACTAATTCCCCTGGAAAGGTAGCAGAAGGTAGCCCAAGTCCTGGGGCCCTTGCCATCCATGTGGGAGACCTGACTGATGTTTCAGACCAGGTTGATGTTTCAACTTGTCCCAGCCCTGGCTGTTGCAACCGTTTGGGAAATAAACCAACAGATAGAAAACCTACCTTTCCCCCTGAGCCTCTATTTCAAATCTATAAATGAATAAAGATAAAAAAAA